ATGTATAAAATAAAATAAATTAGATCTGAATATTTTATATATTAAAATAACTGCTCTATAATTTTTTTTTTTTTAAACTCTAACTCTACTATTACTGATTTTTTTTTACCTATAGAAAGCTACATTATCAGCGAGTAACTAGGGATTATGTAGCTTTCTATAGGGATTATAAACAAACAAACAATCTTTCCTCTTTATATTATTGGTAGAGATTTTATACAAAAATACTTATGTACACATAGAAAACGTCCAAATTAATACAAACAGATATATTATTTTATTTTTATTTTGAGCAAGAATTGAAACCTTATTAGAAATTAGAAAGCGAGGCAGTGTGTTAATCCGCTGCTATTATTTAATGGTTAAAAATCACAAATTAAAATGAACTATCACAAAAAAAAGAACAAACTTAAATGTGCAAAAATATGAATTCAATATTATTTTATTTTCACTTATTTTTAATTTATAACGTTACTTAAATACTTAAAAGTCTGTACCTACTCTGTGTTCTGATAATAATTAATAATTTTTTTAACATTTTTTTTTGTAATCATATGGTATGAAGTTTTTTTTTTTTATTATATTTTTATTATTTTTGTAGATATTGAATAAATATAAACTTACAATTTTTTTGAAAATCTTCCATTTGGGGCTGGGCGCACCCGAAACCGCCGTCAGCGCCATAACACAAGCGAACACGAACAGGAATATTTTCGAGAAATCCATTTTCGAAATTTAAAAATTTGAATTTATAATTCTCAAATGTAAATACTTCAATGTATTCGTATTGAATGATGCTCGACTTCGCAATTCTCACGCTTTATATATTTGTTGAATGGCAAACATTTAATAAACAATTCGAAACATGACGATAATTAAATTTAAATCTTATTAGTAAGAACTTAAGAGTTACAATAACTAATCGAATAAACAGCAAATGATGATAACAATTCGCTACTAAACGAATCGGTGGGAACTCCCGGCGCTTCCAAGCTGAGTTAATCCCCAAGGGTTCAGATGTCAAAGATAAAATTGTTTTATTTAGCATGACGATAAATGTTACGAGATTTTCCGTCTGTGTAAACATTAATATCTGTCTGTCTGTTACTTCACCACTGAAGTTGGAAAATGATTGAACAGTTCGTAACGAAATTGTATGAATCGAGTATGTATTGTAGCTCTACTTAAAATCGTATCTATTTTATTTGAAAAGCCTAACTTATTTTTACAATCGAATTAATGTTTAAAAATTTACATAAAAATTTACTATATTGACTACTGTTTATTATTTTAATTTTTATTGTTATCATTTTTTTTTTATTATTAATATTTGTTATATTATTGGGAATGTCATGTGAGCAGAGTCACGAGATATAACTAGTTTATAATTGATATGATATATTGATTGATTAATAGAATTGATCTAATAATTGCACTTTCAACTTCCTCGTATAAAAACAATGCATATTTCTTAGTACGTACGAGTACTTACCTACTTTGTACATAATTGATCACAACTACTTTGTACTGAGAATACGCCGGGAGTTTACTGACTCCAGCTTGTAAGTAAAATTTTTTTTTTTTAATAGATGAAAATGGAATGCTAACCCCGCCCGCGGTGTCGGTGTACACCGACGAGGCACCAGTGGAAGACGATAGGTGAGAATGAATGCAAGTCAGTTGGCCCACCGTGATGAATTCGACAAGTATTAACCATGATGGTTTCCAGAGGGAACCGCGTGGAGGTCGTCCTGAGAGGTCAATAGGTATCTTTAATTTATCATCATCATTTCAGCCGTTGTCCGTCCACTGCTGGACATAGGCCTCCCCCTTAAACTGCCATAAGAAACACCTGAGCCACCTACATTCACTGATTCCATGCATTTGAGGTCGTCACTCCATCTAGTGGGGGTCGTCCTACACTAAGTTTGCCCGTACGGGGTCGATAGTCAAGAACCTTATTTCCCATCAGTTGTCGCTTGTTCTAGCTATGTGACCAGCCCATTGCCACTTCAGCTTGCTTATCCTTCGGGCTATGTCGAATACTTTACTACCCTACTTTTGTAATTTTTTATGGTTCCAATAAATACATTTTAATTTTTTTTTATTTTTTTTTAATTCTTTTGCAGATATCCTTGTTACGGATTCGGATATTACGTAAAGAAACGCCGAGCATAGCTCTCTACAGCCCGCTAAATAATTTGAAACTTTTGCATACGGGCAATCATATAAAGACCATGTTTCGGTTCCATATATTTAATTAATTACGATTAATTATGTATCAGTTAATTTACATAATAACAATACATCAACATGGCGTATGTAACTTATTCTACAAGTATGAATTAATCAAGTGTCTTAAGTAATTAATATATGATTAAATTCCATATATGTATATCTTAATTACGTTTCGACATCAATGAAATTTAATCATAGACAATAGAACAATATTCTGAGCAATATTCCTTAAATAAGCAAATAATTTAAGGATTCTCCAAAATAATGTCCAGTTATTTACTGAATTATTTTGTCAGATACCTTTATTGTTGTTAAAATAAACAAAATACCATTTTAGATATTATGCAGTAAGCGAAAATGCACCGTATCGTCTTACACATTACGACTCAAAATTAAATGAAAGATTCAACTATGTTATATAGATACTACACAGTTATAAGCAAAGTAAGGAATTCCTAATTTCAGTAATAATAATAAGTATTCGGTGTCTATTTCATGCATAAAAAAAAGGCTTTAAGATAATTCTATCTCATTTTTTCAAGATAATGATCTTGTGTACACAATTTTATTTTTATAATAGGAAACCAAAAACTGTTATTACATAAGTATTACTTTATATATGGAACCCTCAATGCATAAATTCAACTCATTTTGACCGGTGTTTTAAGGATGAAAACGTAATGATAGTTGTAACATACTGCGCGTTATTCTAGTGAGGTACTAGTGAAGAATGGTAGATGAGGATAAAGTGAGGTCAGTGGACTCATTGTAACGAATTTATATATATATATATATATATATATATATATATATATATATATATATATATATATATATATATATATATATATATATATATACTATTATTAAAAACAGTATGTTCACGTTCACGCAGAGTAAGTCGCAGGCGCAGATAATTAATATGCGCACGCGCATTCATTTCAGTCGATTGTTTACTTTGAATGATTCATCTGATTCATTCCCTCTGCCAAACATAATATACCTACTATATATACTCTTACACGTATATTGATAAGATGAATGGCATATCTTTATATTCGCATAATCTGTTGCACTTGAACCTTTTGTAGTTCCCGTATTTTACTACCTTGTAGATTTTATGCTTCATCCTCATGATATCCTCTTATTTGAGATTCGTGTAGTACTCTTTTTTTTTATACAACTTAGAATGGCAAACAAGCTGACGGCCCACCTGATGGAAAGTGGTAACCATCGCCTATAGACATGAGCAGTACTATGGACGTATACTGTTTCGCCCATGATACCTCACATGCGTTGCCATTCCTGAGGACTCAGATATTATTCCTCTGTACCCTGTAAATTCACGCCATATCCCACCCTTCAAACCGAAATACAACCATGCAAACACAGCTGCTTCACGGTTATATATCGCCTATATCAATCGGATATCTATTTTCAAATTAAAAATTTGTTTCCCAATATTATTTTTTGGGTAACAGACTTTTGGCGTATTCGTTATTGGAAATATGCGTCAGATAATGTAACTAGAATATATAGATATTGCTATATATTATCTACTCCGAATAAGTAACTGAGACTTATGACTCACCTATAGTTGGCGTCAAATAAATTGATCAAAGCTACAAAAAGTAAAGGTCGAGCACGTTTTTAAATTAAAATATGTTACTGCACCAGTTAGTTTGTTTGGATAATCTGTATACATTAAACATGATGATAAAATGTGCATATTTATTTACTGTATCTATATTGAGAATATTTCTATGCCAATAAACTAATTAATAAACAACTTTATTGTTTTGTTTTTTTTTTTTTTTTTATTTAGAATAGAATAGTAATATTTTTTATTCAAACAGACTTGTTTACAAGCTCTTTTAAATAAATTTTTAATCAATAGATGCAGTGTCAGGCAGTCTATAGGGGTATATGATGATATTACGCAAAATATTATGCATAGAAAAAATATATATTATATTATAGCTTCGTCTGTGATGGGCTTATGAATAAATTCTGTTTGGATATCTTCAGTAGTCATTTTAAGTCATAACGAATTTACGACTACTAATTATTAGATTGAGCGATTCATTCGAATTATTCGAATGATTTTCAATTATTATTTTTTTGTCATTGGTATTTCATTGTCACCCATTATTAAGATAGTTGATACAGGGAAAAGACTGTTTTCAGTAGTAGTTTTTTAAATCGAATTTCTAATTAGTAAACGCAATCGAATACGAAAATTAGTATATTACTAATTTAGTTGTCGAATTTTAAAATTAGTAATTACTAATTATTTGTATAACAAAATCATTTGAATTTATGCACTGCTAAGTCACATTGCACTAAATCAGAGTATTCAACGCCAACGTCAAATCGGTTGTCCTACACGTACGCAGGAGATGGCCCGTTGAGATCGCAGCAGTCCTTAATAGTTCGTAAACGAATGTATTCGACACATATTATTTTTCTGGCCACAAACTATCTTCAATGCAAGACTGAGAATTGACTGACCAGAAATCGATCGATCAATGAATGTTTGAATATGTAATACATATTCAATCATTCATTGATAGATTGTTTATGTAATACAGAAACTTGGTAGCTATAATATCCAAGCAGCTTCTTCAGTAGCCAATAAGTAGTAAGACAAGTTTGTTGCTATGTTTATTAACCAATCATTAGATAATTTGACACACAAGTAGCATTTGTAATAGAAATCAAATCAAGTCGCGAATAAAAACTTAAAAATATTGAAACTAATATTACAGTTGCTAAGAATATATATTTGTCAAATACTTTAACTATTACAATAAAATGTTACTAAAACTATATATTATATATGTACATAAAAATATAAATTTTACGTATGTTTATAGATAAGAATAATATTAAGGTGTTACCTACAAACGTATTTATGTCACAACATAAACATTGATTTATTATAAGTAATTGTTAGCATAATTGCAAAAAAAAATACGTAACAGACCCCTAAATAAAATAAAATTACCCAAAATAAAATTAACGTTGACGCAAAAAAGTCCATATAATATGACGGCGAGAATTTTAAATAATCTTTCAGATAATTTAAGAACCCTCTCTGGAATACCATTTTAAAAAAATGCATGAATGGCTAATTGAATCGTGTTATTACTATGTTAAGGATTTCATGTTGGATTAAAATGGTGGAGATTTGTACGTATTATCGTTATATTTAATACTTTTTATTTTTATTAGTACATCTCATTTTTACTGTTGACCATTTGATATCCAATATTTATTTTCACTAATTAAACTAATTGACTGAATAAAATAAATTGTATTACATTCCTTGTTATTTTATATAATGTTATTTTATTATTATATAATTTCGTAATGTTTAAATGCTACAAACAATTTTAAAATTATTCTAATTTTTGTTTTTAATATTTGCAAGCTCGATTTTGTAAGATACTTTTAATTTATAAGAGCAAATGTTTTATACCCAAAATCATAGAAAATAAAATTATTATTATTAAAAAAAAAATGTAAAGATATTAAAAATATAATGATCATAAGTATGTCCTCAGATGAATTACTAAGTATGTTTCTCAATTGTTTAGTGCCAACAATACAAAGGAGATGGCGCTGTACAACATTGCCAATTTTATTTATGTTATTCATTTACTTTGTATAATCGACACAATAGTTTGTGGAGTCCCCATATTGTATTACTTCCACACTTAATTATTTTTCATCATACGAACATTATTTTGCATCATCAGTAACTTATTTATAATCATCAGTAAATTATTTTATAGCATTGTAACAATTTTTAGCATTATCAGCAGATTATTTTGTACATAATTTTGTATAATTAGACACTATTTTACTTCTGCATATAATTTTGCAACAATTCCATCAGAATGTTTACATTCTCTGGCGTCATCGATACATTTTTTAGTAGATTAATTATATTTCTTATGCTTTCCTGAAACAATGAAAAATACAAATAAAATTTATCATATTCATTTTAAATAATTATTATATTTGACGTTTTTAAAAAAGCGTAAATTCTGAATTCAATGTTATTTTATTAATTTATTTTAATGAGGCACACATAACGAATTATAACCATGTTAGGTTTATATATAGGTAATTATGGATTTTATAGTAAGTTACAATTCAAAAATATGTGTACACAGCATGATTAACATTTATACATAACATTTAAATTTCGACAGATGGAAAATATAATAATTTGTAGAGCGTATGTTATGTGATCTAATTCTAAAACAATTTTATATAATTCTTTTTATAATTATATTTATATTAATTAGTATAAACCTAAATCAAGTTTAATCCTGTCATTACAATCATTACAAATTTTGTACACAATTTACTAAAAATTTCTTAAAGTTTTCATTTAGTATAATTTTTTTCTTTTTGCCGTGTGGTCCCGCCACAGAATATGCCGCCTTTTTGTTTTCCATGGGTGTCGTAAGAGGCAACTAAGGAAACTTAATGGTTGAAGGATGGACAGTAGATGCTGCTGTTGCCAATTTACCTGTCAAGTGTGGCAACTACCCTTAATTGGTGACCTACATAAACCACGTTCAGCAGTGAATAATTAATGGCTGATATGTTCAGCAGTGAATAATTAATGGCTAAAATGATGATGAATTTTCTATGTAAATTTTTTAATAATAGCTGTTAGTGGAACATTTATTTATTTATTTATCTATTCATTAGTACAAATATGTGTACATGGCGGACTTAAAGCTAAAAGCATTCTCTCCCAGTCAACCATAGGGAAGTGCATTGAAAATTGCCATAGAAAAATTCAAATAATATACATATTTTCATATTTTGTTAGAAACAATAAAGCTTATTCCTATGTATGTGGGGCTAACCATATTAGTCCCATATTCAGAGCCCGTAATCATTTGACAATATCATCACTGGCCATTAAAAATGAATGCATTGTTTTTTACTTAGCTCTATTTTTAGCGTTGTCTATGATCTTGTTTCTTTTTCTATAATCAATGACCATATCAATGATCCAATATGAGTATTAAATATGATTTATACAACTAGTGAAATATCTAAAAATATTTTACCCATTCTGATCTTTTTCAGGAGTTTGTGTGCTTGTAGTTATATTATTGTTGTTTTCTTCTGCTGTGTTCGGATTTTTATCGGAAGATGGCTCATGACGCCTGTATAAAGAATAGACTAGTTATTTATTTATTTAAAACATAGATTGTATATTTGATTATTGCAAAATACAAACGATTTACATGTATAAAAAATACTAAATCTCATGTCTAGTATCTGAAGTAACAATGTTAAAATTTAAACAGAATTTATCATTATAAATTTTAACAAGCCAGCTGTCCATTTGTATATCTTATCATCATCATGTTAGTTGTTAACGATCCACTGCTGAACATAGGCTTCCCCCTTGAGGGGGTTTTTCTAGTAGTTACCACGCTTAGCAAGTGGGTTGACAAGTGCAGTTAGTCTTTGGTAATATTTCAAGAGGGACATTGCTACCCGACCATTAAGTTCCCTTAATCGCCTCTTTACGACACTCACGGAAAAGAAGTATTGGCTTATTCTATGCCGGGACCACCCAATAATATATATGATAATCATGTATTATTTTCTACTAGCTTCTTGCCTGCTACTTCGTACGCGTGGATTTTAGAAGTAGAAAAATCACAGATTACTACCGTATGACGATTTCCTTGTGAATTAAAGAAATTGCTTAATGCGAAGTAAAATCTACTTGTATACACAACTGGCCGTATGGTCCTGGCATAGAATAGGTCACTCTTTTCTATACCGTCGGTGTCGTAAGAGCCGACTAAGGGAGGGCGAGGGATGGGCAGCAGTGTCCCTCTAAAAATATCTCTAAAGCTTAACTGCGTTTGCCATTCCGCCTGCCAAGCATGGCAACTACTGGCAAACCTCCCCAAGGGGAGGCTTATGTTCAGCAGTGGACAGTTAAAGGCTGATATGATGATGTAGCTTTTTGTAGGTGGAAGATTTTTTAAAATCGGTTGAATTGTTTTCGAATTTATCCATACAAACAAATGCTTAAATATTTCCTCTTCATATATAATTGGTGTATTTTGTTATGAATGAAGTTAGTTTTTTTGTTTTAATAAAATATAATAATTAGTACTCTTTATCCCTGAAATCCATCTCGCGCATTTCATTTAATAGTGCATCATATCTGTGTAGTGGTGGTATATTCCATACTCCATATTTCTGTCTGAAAAATATATACAATTATAATTAATTAATAGTAATTAAAATAACACAATTACATACACATGCACGAACGCACACACACACACATACGCATACACGCACGCACACGCATACACGCATATGAACACGCACACACATACTTTTATACTATTTAGTTATAATACTACTCGGGGTTATAGTTTTAGTCAAAACAAATCATACAAGCCCAAACATAATAATATTATTACGTATTGTTTACAAGTTCCAATGACTATCTTCTCTCTTTATCACCAGACCAGCTCAATAGTGTCATAATATTGTACTCTCACCAAACTTACATAGTTATACCTAATTTCAATAGAATCGGATGCCAACAATTAGTTGAGATGAAGTTGTTAGTTTAAGATCTCGCTACTGGTTTTTGCAAGTATAAGCTTTTTAAATGTAACTTTGTATAGTCCTAGGTTATGAAAAATAAAATAAAAAGAAAATGTTTTAATTCAAAAATATAACATTAATAAAGGCAAGAAAGTTGTCACCTCAAAGATAGCGACAGAAATTAACTAATTAAAAAATACTCCTATCTTGTAGCCAAGTGAAATCTGGAAACCTGGATGCATTGTATTATATTTTCCTTTATCTTTCATTTAAAAATTTTACTTGCAGAAGTTAATGACTTGAATAATACTAAATAATAATAAATAGTAATACTAAATCCTGAGGGTACTACTATTATACTATTAGATATTATTATACTAAAGCAAGTTAAACAAAATTGCAAAAAAGAAAACCGTACTTAAAGGAAGAGATTGAGGCGGTTTTAACAGAGATTTTGATACTAGCCGGATACTGAACGCATCCAATAAACAAAAGTTTGATTCTTTTTCAATTTACTTCAAAAAAGGGCGTTCTCAATTCGGTGGCATTTTTTTATGTTTGTTTTACCTCGTTTATTTTTTTAAATATAATAATAATAATTTATTTCAAAATAAATGTTACATTTTAAATATAGGTAAAACTGCTCCCTAAATAGGTAAATCCTGTACTTTAGGATAAACAATGCTCTTCCCTATACGGCATAATGACACAAACTTATATAAAAAAGAAACAATACAAGTTAAGGTACTAATACAGTAATAATTTAATTTTAAGTTTTTATGTGAAATATTAAGTTAAACTTACAGATCAGTTCTAAAGATTTGTTTGTTTCAGTAGTAAGCAAATTACTTTTTAAACCAAAACAACTGGACTTTTTAAATCAAAATAATTAACTTTGCCATGACTCAAGTTTTTTTTTTCTGGAACAATTATCATAAATTAATTAAAAAAATATTATGCATTTACCCAAAAGTTGCAATATTATCAGCAGCAGACAATGTATTGCTCCCACGTATTAATCCATCCGATAATGCAATGCCTACCCCGGCCTGTGAAATAAGTACAAAAACAATTACTTATATATATATATATATATATATATATATTAATAATATTTTTTAATTATCCATATGAAAATTGTATTATTATAATTTATTAATAACTAACTTTTACCCTCTACTTCGTACACGTGAATTTCAAAAGTGGAAAAACAAATGAAACTGATCACTTCTAGGTGGCTTAACAAGATATACTAGATTTTAAATGGGACCTTTAAGAATATAACTAAAAACTACACCCATATCGATGTAGTAGTTTCTGCTTGATGCCAGAAAAGACAGACAGACAAGGTTTTTAAAAAATATATTGTTTTGGCATATATTGCTCTTATTAAAACTTATCATACATTTTTAATAACACGCACTTTCTTTTGTTTAAACAATAGCAGATATTTTTTTTTAATGGGAAAGAATGTAATGAAATCCGGCTGCGCTATCGGTATACCAGTACCAGTTATACCAGATACCAGTGAGAGATGATAGGTGAAGATGAATACAGGTCAGTTAGCCTATCGTAATTTACGAGGGCTGTCTTTTAAGTTGTGTCATTTGAAATATGTATAGACAATTTAATAGATTATTACTATTTATTATTTTTCAAAGAATTCTCCGCGATATTTAATACACTTTAGAATGCGTTCAAACCAGTTTTTAAAACATTTATTCCACTTTGAAGTGGCCAAGTCAGAATGCCCAATTTGTATGCGTCAACAGCTTCCTCGGGTAAGTTGAAACTTTGACCACGAAGACTGCTTAATTTTGGTAACGTAAAAAAATCGTTAGGGCTTAAGTCAGGGCTGTAAGGTGGATAATCTTAAATTTTGAAATTTTGGGTGCTCAAAAACATCTTTGTTTAGCGGGCGGTGTGCAATCTTGCATTGTCATGGTGCAGTATTATACGTCTTGAATTGTTTTTTTGAATTTCGGTAAAGACTTGTGGCAAACAAACAGTGGTATACTAGTCATCGGTAACCGTCTAGTGATCTTCTAGTACAAAAGTGGCGACGTGACCACCCACTGCCACAAACGAGGCAATAATTTTTTTTATAAGTGCTCCGTGAGCGTATGACTTTGGTCGGTTTTGGTTCATCCTGGAAGACCTACTGCTGCTGCTTAGAATCTGCATCGTAAGCATATATCCAAGACTCGTTACCACAAACCGTATCATAAACATGCTTTGATACTCTTCGATTGAATCGCTGCAGAGTTTTGCGACACCAAATAACACGGGCTGTTTATTTTTGGTCATCACTAAGCAAATGTGCTATCCAACGAGAGATCAACTTTCTTACGCCAAGTTCTTCATGCAGGACTTTTTTGGATAGTGGTCCCTGAAATGCCCACGGATGCCTCTATTTCACGGTATGTCACATGACGATCTTCGAGGATTAGCTGCCGCACGGCTTCAATATTCTCTTGCGTCATGGCGGTTTTTGGACGACCTTCACGTAGCTTGTCACTGAGGCTAGAGTGCCCACGTTGAAAATCTAAATACCAGCGTTCTACAATCCTAACGCATAGTGCTGCATCACTAAACACAGAAGTGATCTCCTCAAAGCACTGAATTCGGGATAATCCCCTTAGAAAGTTATAGAAAATTATCAAACACAAATTTTCCTTAGATATTTCCATTTTACAACCGACTTGTCACCTTTGAATAGACGATACAATAAAACTAGTCGACCATAATTGAATGCCACCATTCACTAGATAGGATATCTTCCAATAACCGAGTTATCCTCCAATGGATAAGAGGGCACAGTGGATCTTATGGTAACGATGCCGCAGACGAACTGGCTAGAAGAGGCTCAGGAACGAGGGTGGTAGGCCCGTATCCACTTCTTCCTCTTCCGTTCTCGCAATTTCGAATATGGATTCGTCAAAGATCCGCTGACATACAAAACCATAGATGGATACAGGCTACTGATTGCAGACAATCAAAATTGGCCGTACCTACGTTGAATCAACGACTATCAAAACGTTTATTACATCTAGATAGAAAAAACCTCAAAATAATGATAGGGACAATAACGGGCCATTGTCCATTAAACAAACATTTATACACAATAGGAGCCACAGACAACCCTCTATGTCGAGGCTGTTTCGACGCTGAAGAAACGGCTGCTCACGTAATCCTGGAATGTGAGGCTGTGGCCCATCAACGTTTAGTAATCCTCGGAACGGTGAGGTCGCTCCGTGAGGCCTGTGAAGAACCCAGGAAGCTTCTGCGCTTCTAGGCGGAGTTAGGTTGGCTGTACTAGCCATGACTCATATGCACAACGGCCCAAATGAGAGGCTAAGCGCGGAAAACAGAGTCTTTCTCACATTCACATGCACAACTAGTCGACCAATCTGAAAACATTTCTTTGTTTTCGAATTCTAAATTCAAAAAGATTAAAATGCCATATGTTTATTTTTTAATAATAGCGAGAGGTTGGCAAACGACACGACTTAAAAGGCAGCCTTACGTATTTCACAATAATTTACCATGATTTTAGGTTCCAGGGGAAACTGCGTGGAGGTCGTCCTAATATGGCTTATTGCTAGCAATGAGACTGTTATACTCCATTACTAACAATCCCTTTCCTGCAATAGCATATGTAAGACATGCTTTTGCAAAAGATACCTAAACATGAATTGAATACCTGTCTATCATAAGTTTAACTTCTTGTAGTAAATCACTTAATATAACTTAATATACTTAGTGGATCCATCAATAAAACTTATATAAAATTTATTCATGTTCTCACAAACATAAATATCTAAATAAGACACAGATTTAAGTCATTTTTATTTTCAATGTTTATAAGTATGGATGAATATTTGTTACGCTTTCATTCAAAAACTACTTGCCGAATTTGAATGAAAGTTGGTACATGGGTTGGATATATAGGACATACTGATGTACATACTTGCTTAGCATATGTTTATGTACTTATTAAATCACGCAAGCGCAACCGTGGGATACATCTAGAGCATTATATATTACTCATTTAGACAATTGTATAATGTATAAATATATAAATACTTACAATCTTATTACCAAACGCTTTTGTTTTATTCTTGAACCTCTGAAAGTCAGTATCTTGGCTATATACATTGGAGCTATAGCTCCGACCATGCTGTGAATGAATTATGAAGAAAATATTATATGTATTAGTAACAAGAAAATTGATAAGCCAATTACATTTTTATGGTATTCATAATCTATATTAAATAACTTTTTTTTTAAGTCAGACAGTTATAGTCATTACCGTATATATATAATCATTACCGTGTGGTCTCAGCAGATGGGCCACCACTTTCTTTCCCGTGCGTGTCGTAAGAGGCGACTAAGAGAACTTAAAAGTCGAGGGATAGGTAGCATTATCCCTCTTAAAACATCACTAAAACCTAACTGCGGTTACAAATTCGCTTGCCAAGCGCTCACGCACACTACTATTTTGTATTTTGAAATTTTGTAATTATTGTGATAACACTATATAGTGTACTCGTAACAATAGTTATTGACTACCTGCAAAATTTAGTAACTATTGTCTGTCACGATTAAATTGTATTTCAAATTCAATGAAATCCTATTTTTATTTATTATTGCATAAATTATTGTTATTTTAAACTGTAAATTGCAAGCTGTTGGTTAACTAATGAATAAATAAATATTTACTTTATTTAAATATAATACTTACGTTTTTATTTTCATCTTGGATCGTTCTCGAAAAAGACTTTTGAGATCTAGGATTATAATTAAAACCATCCTTAAAAAAATAAAAAAAAAGAATTAATATAAAAGAACAATAATTAATTATCCATGAAAATTTTTTAAAGTAACAATTTTTTTAAATTTTATTTTATTATTACACTCATCGATACAGTTTTCTATTATCATCAATCAATTCAGTGGGTTGTCAAACTAATAGAAATATAGTGATTAGGTACTAATTAATTTTCTTATTAAAATTATAAATTTTATAATTATTAAATGAATAAAATTTACTGAAGTAAAATACATACATACATACATATCTGTCACGCCTGTCTCCCATTAGGGTAGGCAGAAACAATGGAACGCCAAATGCTTCGATTCAAACAAACCTCTTTCGCTGAAGTAAAATATTTTTAAACATATTTTAAAAATCATTCTCTACTTCTACCTATTCACATCAAATGAACTTAATCCTCACTTTTTATCCATTAATTGTATCAATTCATCGACTAAATTAATTACTATATCCAATATAGTTCAATCGACTTCATCCGAAGATAATTTTTCTTTCTCTCCAATCTCTCTCGATGAAACCCGCAAAACTATTCTGTCTATAAAATCCAAGGCTATGAGATATGATGATGTAAGTCGAGATATGATCACGGCTCTGTTAGATCACATTACTCCAGTAATGACTCACATGATAAACTTTCCTTTTTATCTGATAATTTCCCCTCTCTGTGGCGTAATGCAATTGTTCTCCCTCTTCCAAAGGTCTCAGTACTTCAATCCCTAAATGATTTTCGCCCCATTTCTCTTCTTTCTTTTTTATCCATAATTCTGGAGGGTGTAGCAAATAATAAGGTATCCAGCTTCGTTTATAGAATAAGATTTTAACTTCTTTTCAATCCGGTTTTCGTCCTGGACACAGTACAACTACTGCTCTTTTAAAAGTCATTGAAGACATTCGATTTGGAATGAATAATGATTTGTTTACTAATCTCGTTCTTATAGACTTCTCCAACGCTTTTAATATGATAGACCACAACATTCTCCTTGCCATTTTGCAAAGGTTCTTATCTTCTGTATTAAACAGGTTCTCCTCTTATCTTTGTGGTCGACAACAGGCAGTTCGTATTGAGCGTAAACTCTCAGACTGGCAAGAATTGATCGCCGGAGTGCCTCAAGGTGAGATCCTCTCTCCTTTATTATTCTCTACTTTCATTAATCTTCTTTCTCTATCTAGATATCAGCAGATGGGCCACCACTTTCTTTCCCGTGCGTGTCGTAAGAGGCGACTAAGAGAACTTAAAAATCGAGAGATAGGTAGCATTATCCCTCTTAAAACATCACTAAAACCTAACTGCGGTTACAAATTCGCTTGCCAAGCGCTCACGCACACTACTATTTTGTATTTTGAAATTTTGTAATTATTGTGATAACACTATATAGTGTACTCGTAACAATAGTTATTGACTACCTGCAAAATTTAGTAACTATTGTCTGTCACGATTAAATTGTATTTCAAATTCAATGAAATCCTATTTTTACCTATTATTGGATAAAATATTGTTATTTTAAACTGTACATTGTAAGCTGTTGATTAACTAATAAATAAATATATATTTACTTTATTTAAATATAATACTTACGTTTTTATTTTCATCTTGGATCCTTCCAGAAAAACTGTTAGACCTTGAAAATCCAGGAAACCTTAAATGAGGCTTAAAAAAAATAAAAAAAAATAATATAAAAAAACAATAATTGATTATGCAAATTTTGTAAACTAAAAATCTTTTTAATATTTTATTTTATTATTACACTTATCAATACAGTTTTCTATTATAATAAATCAATTAAGTGGGTTGTCAAACTAATAGAAATATAATGATTACTAACTATATAAGTATTTACTATTTCATAAATGATGCAATAAAGTGAAATTAAATAAGTAAATTTAACATTATATTAGACTTCACTGTATATTACCCAGATATAAAGTTAATATATAAATTACTTGAATAATATTTACACAAATTATATATTATCATTTATTATTATTTATTTGAAACATTTATTAGTTGAGTCTTGAGCCACTACTTTCGATGAAAAATAAAAAATAAATTAGAACATTAGTAACATAATTATATAATCTATATATATTGTATTTAACATCTCCCTTTTTATGGAGGTAAATGTTCAACCATGCGGGCCTTAGCCAAGCAATGGTTGACTTTAAATTATATATGAGGATGATGACAATGATGAGGAAAGAAATTTTCTGACTATGCGGCAGGTATTGAGGATGACCGCTTTCTGTAGCAAATCTATTGTATAGGTAGGAATTTGTAACATTATTATTATTATTGATCTACCGTTTATTTTTTCTTATTATTATTATAAATATTATAATTATTAAATTTACTCAAGTTAAATATTTTTTAACATATTTTAATAATCACTTCTAGAAGAAAAGAAGCGACAAGAAATTCGACTGTTATTATGGGCTTACTTCGTCAGTTCTTTGCCGATTTTTGTAATTCTTTTTGAAGTTAAAGAGATTTACTTCTATATCGGGCTCATTAATTTTGTGATTTTTGTTTTTATAATGACCGAAACTGTAATATTAGTTTGCGAAGCGAAAATTTTATTTTATTTTACTTTTATTTTTAATTACACTTGTTTATATATAACCATATAGGCAAACAAAAACTATGAATGTGAGTTTGTTTGTTTGTTGCCTTAATCGTCATGAAATTTGGGATATGCGTATTCTTCTTTCCACATATACATAATATATGTAGAAAGGAGAAGGACATAACTCACATTTGCTGCCCCTTCTGATCAATCATTGTATTCCAATCGCGCGAACAAAGTGGCAGCTAAAAACTAGTTGAGGTCTATAAGTAATCTTATAATACATGTTATTCATCTTATAAACATACTTCACCTCATAATGTAATCTCAATCGATAATAAAAAAACAAATACGCATAGTAAAACAAATACGATTAATTCATGCTATCAATTGATACTAATGAAAAAAAAAAATTATTATAATCCTAAAAGAATATATTTATTATATTGTATGTCAAATCTTGTCTTTCCGTGTGGTTTTGGCATAGATTTTTTTTATACGACTTAGAATGGCAAACAAGCTGACGGCCCACCTGATGGAAAGTGGTAACCGTCGCCTATAGACATGAGCAGTACCATGGACACAACAGTACACACACACTGTTTCGCCCATGATACCTCGCATGCGTTGCTATTCCTGAGGACTTAGGTGTCATTCCTCTGTACCCTGTAAATTCACGCCATATCCCACCTTTCAAACGGAAACACAGCCGTGCAAACACAACTGCTTCACGGTAGAAACACGAAGGCCACCCCCTTCCTTTCCCATGGCTGTTATAAGAGGCGACTAAGATAACTTAATAGTAGAGGGATAGGCAGCAGTAAATCATTTAAAACATTTAGCTTAGTGAAGCTTTTAAAACATTTTTAAAAGCCTAACTGCGTTTGCCAGGGGGGAAAAGGGACTGTTAGTAATGGAAACTAAGAATCTCATTGCTAGCAATATATCCAACCAGGTCGACCTCCTCGCGGTTCCCCCTGGAAACTATATGATTAATTCCTGATGAATTCATCATAATGGGTTAACTGGCCTGTTTTCATCCTCATCGATCACCCTTCACTGGTGTCCCGCCAGCGTATCCCATTAGCGCAGGCGGGGTTACCATTCCATTTTTATCCAATAAAAAAAAAACTGCGCTTGCCAACCCATATGCTATAGCCATGCATGAAAATTACTGGTAAAACTCTCCTATATAGTATGCTTTTGTTTGCTATTTCGTAAGCGTAGATTTCAGAAGTAGGAAAAACAATGAAAAAGACCATTCTAGTCGTCATTCCACTCTATTCATGCTGGAATTACACGGCCATTTTGATAAATTAGTTTTAATTTTATCAAATTAAGTACAATTGCTAGCATACCTATATTATGTTTATTTGTCCAAAGAAACACGTACTTCTAGTAATTAATGTTCAAGAGGGATAACCTAAAAAGCTATTATATATAACGTAAAACTATACTGGGCCTAACCACGATAGACATAAAGTTGTTAATTCCCCGAATGCATCATTCACAGCACTTCAAAGGAGATATGTGGAAAATGATATAAAAATTGTATAAAAGAGAGAGAGAATGGGTGTAGTGTACAGAGTGCCGCGTCAATTAGTCTGGTGCGTTCTAAATTTAAATATATTTTTTTTAATAAGAATGAATTTCGTAAAAGTGTTATTCTTTATTTCTGCCTGCATTTTAATAATGCTAAGTGCCGTAAGCGGAGCCCCTGAGCCGCGTTGGAAGGTGTTTAAAAAAATTGTAAGTACCCACTACATTTAATGATATTCTCAGTTTATCTCGTAAGGGACTTAGTGTTATTATAAATTGAATAGAAAAAAATATAGTACTAGATCATTATTCATAATATTCAGATCACAATACCTTTCCACTGGATAAGATTTACAAAGGCTTTGGTTCTATATTTATATTTGAGGGATGACTATTTTATTAATTCTATTTTATATAACTATAAAATATTTGAAGTAAAAATATAAAATATGCATAATATTAATAAAAATCGCATTTTATACTTTCTAAATTTGCCTATTACTTATTGGTGAGCAATTAATACGACGAGGTACATTTGCTATAATATTTACATAAAGAGAAATAGACGTAACGAGAGCTACAATTTTGTTAATTTAGCATTTTTAATGTTCAATCAATCAAACATCTTTATTCATATACATCTGTTATAGATTCTTATGTTACGTCACTTTATATTATTACTATATAAAATAATATTAATTAAAAAAATACATTAATTACAATTACAATACAATTCACATTTATACTATATTCAAATCCATGCGTTTTTGTCATTTAGATAGTCATTTATTTTATAATATGCTTTTGTACAGAGAGTCCTTTATTTAAAATTTTATTATATACATATTAATTGTATATTATATATGTAATATATATATCCACAGATCCTAATAGAATATAATCGACACTATTGACTCAATGAAACTGATTGCTTACCTATAGATATATGGGTCGAAAACATAAAAAAATCTGTCCTTACAGTTCGAGAAGTGGACGCTTTAATTTTTCCTTTCGACATTCTATATTTAAATAATTCAAATTTACGTTAGCTATCTACCGTAGATTAAGGATAGTGCCTGCGATTCTCTTTCTACGCAATTTATCTAAACATTTCCCACGTCTCACTCACTAAAAAAAACTGCTATAATATTATTATATATTACATAATAAAAACTAAAATATGACTGTAATATATATATATATATATATATATATATATATATATATATATATATTGTAAAAATGACAATATATACATGGCTAATATCGGCACTACTCCGTTATCTATATATCGGATTTCTTTGGATACTGATGGCGAAAAAAAGGACATCACTCATTTCGATATCGCCGACACTAGTCGGATATCTATGTAAATTTCGATCGCGTTCTTCATTTCAATATTACGTACTGAATAACCGATATTTAATATATCTATTATTAGGCTAATATATAGATATTGTACTTGCAATATATAAATATTGGTATATATTTATATATTGCGAGTATATATATTTATATATTCCCAGAGGGAGACTGTACAAAAGTTGATTGCTTGGGTACCTCTGTCCCGTTCGTGTTTCAAACGTGAAGCAGTTGTGTTTGCATGGCTGTGTTTCAGTTTGAAGGTTGGGATATGGCGTGAATTTACTGGGTACAGAGGAATAACACCTGAGTCCTCAGGAATGACAACACATGGGGGGTATCATGGGCGAAACAGTATACTCTGTTATGTCCATGGTACTGCTCACGTCTATAGGCGACGGTTACTACTTTCCATCAGGTGGGCCGTCAGCTTGTTTGCCATTCTAAGTTGTATAAAAAAAAATTACCCACCGCTAACGGTTGATATGATGATTTTTATCGAAATCCAAAAGATATTTTTTACTCCTGTTGGTCCAAATAGTAGCATATAAGTCTATGGTAGTGAAATAATCGAGTTATGGATCGCCATGGGTCAAAATACACTGCTGCATATATTTTTTCTATTAATGAAACCTTTTTAATCAGGAAAGAATGGGCCAACACATCAGAGATGGCATCATCAAAGCGGGACCAGCCGTAGCAGTTGTGGGTCAAGCATCTACTATCATTTCAGGATAATTAAGTGAATTCTAATGTAAAAAAGTGAATATTAGTGTTATATAATAAAATATTTATTAATTTAAATAAATTCTACCGTTTTATTAATAACTATATTATATTATATTTAGGTAAGATATGACAATAAAATTACAGGGTACAAAGGCATAATACCTTAGTCTTCCACAATAGCAACATATGAAGGGTATCATGGCAATAAAATTACAGGATACAGAGGAATAACACCTGAGTCCTCAGGAATGGCAACGCATAGGGAGTATCATGGGTGAAACAGTATACTCTGTTATGACCATGGTACTGCTCATGTCTATAGGCGACGGTTACCATTTTCCATCAGATGGACCGTCAGCTTGTTTGCCACTCTAAGTTGTATAAAAAAAAATCATGGGCCATACAGTATTCTTTGTTATGCCCATAGTACTTTTCATGTCTATAGGCAACGGTTACCCGTTTCTATTAGATAGGCTGTCAGCTTATTTGGCATTCTATGTTGTATAAAGAAACCACATTTTGTAAAAATGCACTAAAGGTCTATGTACCAAATATCTTCATAAATATTTTTATATTTAATACTTACCCTTTGACCATGTGTAAAAAGTCTACTCTTACCACGCCGTTTTCCAGAAATTACTGTTAAATAGCTAACAAGAATCAATAAAAATATAAGTTTCTTTGACATCATTATGATATATCCAATGAAAAAAAAACAAAATTACGAAATCAAAAAACAAATTGACACCAAAATTAATTAATTAAATTAATTTTTCGAAATAGCTATAGTATTTTAATCGCTACTGTTTGTCGAATGGATATTATTTATATATAAAACGAGCTTTTAAAGAGAAATAATCAGTTGTTAAATACCATTGTATAATTGCATTGTTATCTTTAAAAATTTATTTGATTGAATTTGAATCCTAATACAAAAACTTTAAGTATATAATAGTTAATACAAATAATAAAACCTCAATACATTTAGGTATTATTAGTGGCATCTATTTGTATCATTGGTATTGTATTATTATTTTAACTCGGTACTATGTTTACCACACGTAATGGGTTTTTACTTAACATATAGATATATGTACTAGGAACTGTAATATATTACACAAAAGTAAAAACAGAAAATATATACTATTGAAACAATAGTTTTCTGTGGCTATTATTCATAAATATGAAGATAAAGTATTTCTAATATTTAAATTAATAATTTCAAACATTTTTCAATCAAAATCATTATTAATTATTTATATTGTAATGTTACTAACATGTACTCGCTGTGTAGTCCTGGCATAAAGTGGACCACCTCTTCCGTTCCAGTAAGTTTCGTAAATGGCGACTAAGAAAACTAAATGGTCTCAACCATTTATCCATTGATCCATCCCTCAGGATGGATGGCAGCGTCCCTTTTAACACACATCAACATCATTTAAGACTGACTAACTGCGGTTGCCAACCCATCCATTAAGCATGAAAACTATTGGCAAAACCCAAGGGGGAAGCCTATGTTCAGCTATGGACATTTAATCAGCTGATATAATAATAATAATAATATCATAATAGTAGTCTATAGACGAACCAATTTTATATATTAATTACTAATGTATAAATGGGCAGTCTTGTATTTGTCGATATCTTGTATTTGTGCACTATATTTGCAGGCCACTGAGTTAATCCAGCTACACATATATTTATAAGAGGGGGGGGGGAGGATTGTCAATAATGGAGATTGAGAATCCCATTGCTAGCAATATACCCAACCAGGTCGACCTCCTCGCGGTTCTTCCTGGAAACTATCATGGTTAATTCCTGATGAATTCATCATGATGGGCTAACTGACCTGTTTTCATCCTCATCGATCACCCTTCACTGGTGCCCCGCCAGCGTATCCCGTTAGCGCGGCTCCGCCTGCGATTCCATTTTCTACCAATAAAAAAAACCTATATTTATAGGCATCTAGTTCTCAATCTGTTAAGAATTGATCACTCTCTTCTTGGAAGTGAAAAGACAGAGAACTTCGTTGAAGGTTTGATTATAACTACCGCTTTAACGTAATCCCTTGGATAAAGAAAATAATAACATTGATACCTTTATAATAATTATAAAAACGACTGATATACAATTGAATATATAAACTAGTATTAATCGGGGGGAAGGGATTGTTAGTAATGGAGACTAAGAGTCCCATTGCTAGCATTATAGCCAACCAGGTCTACCTCCCCGTGGTCCCCTTTGGATACCATCGTGCTGAATTTTTTTTTTTTTTTTTTTTTTTTATGCAACTTAGAATGACAAACAAGCTGACGGCCCACCTGATGGAAAGTGGTAACCGTCGCCTATAGACATGAGCAGTACCATGGACATAGCAGACTATACTGTTTCACCCATGATACCCCCATGGGTTGCCATTCCTGAGGACTCAGGTGTTATTCCTCTGTACCCTGTAAATTCACGCCATATCCCACCCTTCAAACCGAAACACAGTCATGCAAACACAACTGCTTCACGGTTGAAACACGAATGGGACAGAGGTGCCCAAGCAATCGACTTTTGTACAAAGTCTCCCTCTGGTATTCATCACGATGTGCTAACTGACCTGCCTTTTCATTCTCACCTGTCATCCCTCATTGATGCTCCGCTAGCGTATACCATTAGAGCAGGCGGGGCTACCATTCCATTATCATCCTATAAAAACTAGTATTAATCGAAATTTTCTTTCTTTATATTTCCTATTATTCATCGTGCCAGTAACAAAAGTTAAAAATTCAGTAAATAATAAAGGTGACCTTTTAAATTACACAAAAGGTATCCTTGTCGACAAGCAATCTTTTCCAGAAAAAGAATTTACAAGAATCCGGTTAGAGTATATTGAGAAAAAAAAAGCAAACGAAAATGGCATGTCTAATAATAAAAAAAAATGGTTTGTGAACCTTTTAAAATTTCATACACAAGCATCTGGTTAGAAAAAGTAAAGAGGTATTTCATGATTTTTTAAAATCATGCCCTCTAAGAGGTTGAAATAGGTGTTGAAAATGTATACTGGGAGCGCGTCATTTTTTTTAATTAAGAAGATTAATATTTAATATTAAAACTTCATCACCTCCATATTGGCTATTAACTAACTACCCGCACGGCGGCTACAAGTAAATACGTGTTCATTGTCACTGCGTTAATTAATTAAATTCTGTGAGTTTACGGTTGCAAATGTAAGCAAAAGTTATATCACTGTGCAGTATTGATAACCAGCTGAACTAATTGTGTATCTGTTACAACTCTGAACTAAATATTTCATCACAATTTGAAGATCAATATTGCCGATCGTAGTGAAGCTATTTTTTGGAACGCACTGATCTGTCGATGTAATGTGGACAAGCCCTGGAATCTGTCGACATCTCGCCCTTTTATAGCTGTAATCTTAAGTGACTAATAAAAACATTCTGAGTGTAGTGAAAATATAATTCTTTTCTTATAACTGGTGATTATATATATTGGATTTCGAAATACAGTGCGGTCGCAATTGTGAAATGTTTGAGGGTATCAGTACAGTTTCTTACTTTAACTACCACATACAAAATTATAGTGAACTCCATTTTCATATATTGAGTAATTTCAACAAGTCGTGCAGTATTCTTGTTGGTATAGTTTTTACTGTATCAATAGTTAAATGACCGGACGGTTGTAAGATCGAAACCTGACAAACTTTTTTTTGCCATTTTCATTTATTAATGCTGTTTTTTTTTTTCTTTTTTCTTTCCTTTTGGTGTTGCAATTTTTGTTATAGTTTTTATTTGTATTGTTTTTTTATATTTAATTTTTTTTTTATATTTTAATTATTTCTTAAAAGTTTTTTTCTTCTACGTTACGAATTGAATCTCTAAAATCCATTCATTTGTGGAGGATGTAATGAAGAAATAAAACGGCAGAGAGTTAAATGCCCTAAATGCAAAAAGGACTTTCATCAGCTGTGTGTCAATTTTCAAAGCAATAAAGTACTACCTACAACTAAGATAGCAGAAGGATGGTCATGCCCTGATTGCATAGCTAAATTAGGTCACAAAGGAGATAATTCAAGTACTCCATTAAAACCGCCTTCTGATAACAATAAAAAACAAAACGAATCTGACGAAGACGACACTGATCAAGGGGAAATTTTGGAAAATTATAGGAAGGAGGCTGTAGTTGGCGGCACAGCAAGAGATACCCTAAAGGATGAAATTATTGCAGCTCTTAGGTCTGAATTGCCATTAATTATCCAGAACGTATTAAAGTCACATCTCTCTCCAATTAGCAACCAATTAGAAAAACTTCAAAATTCTGTAACCTTTCTTAGTGAAAGGTACGAAGAATTTTATCAAAAATTAGAAGGCTTATCAGCTAAATATCGACTACATGAAGAGGAGTATAGTGTTACACGCAAAAACGTACAGAAACTCACTGACCAAATCTCTGATCTTGAACAGCGTCTCAGGGAATCTAATTTAGAAATAAACGGAATCACTGAATCTAAATCTGAAAATTTGTTATCTGTTATTAAGCAAATTGCTGATGTATCATCATATGCACTGGATAATAGAGACATCCTAAGTGTTACCAGAGTGGCTAAATATAACAAGGATAACAAAAAACCACGTTCTATTGTTGTTAAACTGAGAAGTCCACGTCAACGTGACGAATTTATCTCGGCCATTCATCGTTACAATAAATCTCACCCTAATGATAGATTGAATACAGGATTGATTGGTGTCCCGGGAGAAACAACTGCGGTATATGTATCCGAACATCTTTCGCCAGCTAACAAAGCTTTACACGCTGCTGCACGTCTAAAGGCTAAGGAGAAACTCTTTAAATACGTCTGGGTTCGAAACGGACGCATTTACACCCGTAAGGACGAAAACACTCGCTACATATCCATAAAAAACATTCAATCACTAGAGTTGATGAAATAAACTATTTATTTTGTTTTTAATTTCTATATATTATATTTCGGATCTGTATATGGATTTGAAGATCTATTTTCAGAATGTAAGAGGAGTGAAATCTAAGTGTGTTGATATATATAATTCTGTACTGAGTAGCGATTATGATGTAATTTGTCTGTGTGAAACTTGGTTGGATGACACTGTTTTTTCATCGGAATTGTTTGATGATCGATATCGTGTATTTAGGCGAGATAGAGATGCATCTTTCAAAAATAAATTTAATAAAAGTCATGGTGGTGGAGTATTGATGGCCGTATCTAAGAGAATAGATGTTGTATTTCGATCAGATTGGCAGAGCTCTATTGAGGATATATGGATACAAATAAAATTAAATAAAATAATATTTAATATGTGTACTGTATATATACCATCATATGTGCCAAACGAGCTGTTTGCAAGCTTTCTCGATAATTGTGCAAATATATCCAGAAATAATACTAAGACAGTAATTGTGGGGGATTTTAATATTCCAACTATAAGCTGGCATAATAATTTACCAGCCTCATCTAGTGTTTCAAGTGGTAGATCATTTTTGTTAAATAGTTTCATGGGGGATTTTAATTTTCTGCAATTGAATGATGTAACTAATAGCTCGAATAATATACTGGATCTTATATTGACTAACTTTGCATCGAATTCTAGTATTATTACAGCAGTTCCTCTAAGTGTCATAGACACATATCATCCACCTTTAGAATTATTTGTCCCAGTAGGTATACCGTCTGTTCTTAAGGAAGAATCTCCACAAATTAAGCTTAATTTTCGTAAGACCGATTATGAAAAATGCATTTTAGATCTAAACAAAGTTGATTGGGAGTTGTATGCAAATCAAATGAATTGTAATGATTTCGTACAGTTCTTATATAATAACATTTGGGATATTATTTATAAGCATACTCCAATAGCGACACCGAAAGTTTCACGTTTTCCGGTTTGGTATTCTAAATCACTCATTAAGGCACTAAAAGAGCAAAATAAATACCATCGCAGGTTTAAACTTTATTCAAATCCTAGAGATTACGATACTTATTCAATGCTTAGAGCACGTAATAAAAATTCACTAAATAAATGTTTTAAATTATATATATCTAGAATAGAGACTGATTTAAATAAAAATATTAAAGCCTTCTGGTCTTATACTAAAAGTAAAAGAATAACAAATGATGTACCTAAAATGGTCACTTATGGAGATCGAACCGCAAGCACAGGATCTGATGTAGCGAATCTTTTCGCTGAATATTTTGCTACTACATATAGCAATGCTACATGCATTAACTATACTCCAACATTTGCACCATCAAATTATAATTTTACTACATTAAAATTTACTAAAGAAGAAGTCTTGTCTCATATAAAAAAGATAAATATAAATAAGGGTGCTGGTCCCGATGGGATACCTCCGGTGTTTGTCCGTTACTGTGCATCTGCATTATCTATACCATTGACTATTGTATTTAATAAATCGCTGGAAGAAGGAATTTTCCCAGACTTATGGAAAATAGCTAAGGTAACCCCTATTTACAAGTCGGGTAATAAAACTGAAATATGCAATTACCGCCCCATTTGTAATTTGAGTCAGTTTAGTAAAGCCTTCGAATCTTTGGTATATGATCAGTTATACAATCATCTAAAACACATATTAAGTGAAAAACAACATGGTTTTACTAATGGAAAATCTACAAATACAAATCTGTTAACATATATTAATTATTTGTGCAAGGCTTTTGACAGTAAGACTCAGGTGGATGCTATTTATATTGATTTTGCTAAGGCATTTGATCGCGTTAATCATGAGATACTTCTTGTAAAGGCTCAACATTTGGGTATTCATGGCAATTTACATCGTTGGCTTAGATCCTACTTAATGAACCGAACTCAACTGGTTGCACTGTATGGTTATGATTCTGTCCCATTTGTACCGACATCCGGAGTTCCACAAGGATCGAATCTAGGTCCCTTACTCTTTTTGCTTTTTATTAATGATCTACTTCAAACCATTACTTGTCAGTGTCTGGCTTACGCAGATGACATTAAATTGTTCTCAACTATTTGTGATTTGAAAGACTGTAAAAAGCTACAGAATAATTTGGATATTGTCGATGATTGGTGTAAAAACAACTTAATGACTCTTAATATTGACAAATGTCAATACATTACATTTACTAAAAATAAACACGCAATATCATACTATTATACCATTAAAGATATAAAACTTAAACATACTAAATTAGTAAGGGACCTCGGAGTTTGGTTTGATAATACATTGTCATTTAAGTTGCATTATGATTCTATTGTAAATAAAGCTAAAAAAATGCTTGGATTTGTAATTCGTACAACTAAACCATTTAAAAAGCCGAACACTTTTATTATATTGTATAAAACTCTCGTTCAGAGTAATTTAGAATATTGTGCATCAGTTTGGTCTCCTATATATAAAGTAGATATAAATAGAATCGAATCAGTACAAGCTGGTTTCCTTCGTTACATTACAAGGAAATTTCATTTAAAACAAAATTTACGTGATTATGAGGAACGTATGAAGTATTTTGGATTCTTAACTTTGGAAACGAGGCGTAGAATTGGTGATCTGTGCTTGCTTTCTAGGATTGCAAATGGATTGTTGAATGAATCATTAACAGCTTCTCTGAACTTGATTGCGTGTAAGCATTCTTTCAGACATCCTCGGCTATTCAGTATTCCATCCACCAATAATAATGTCTCACATAATAATCCCATTCATCGAATGTGTCAATTGTATAATAAAATTAGCGGAAAAATCGATATCTTTCATCAGAGTACTATTGGGTTTAAGAGGTCATTGTATGGTTTTGAGATGGAATAAGTTTAGATTTTTTTTTTTTTTTGCATAGAATAAGTTCATAATTGTAATCAGTAATATAATGTATATCTATAAAAATGTATAACGTTTACTTATAACTTAGTGTTAAATGATGTTTACAATGTAAGGTTGGCAAACTGCGTATTGATAAATTTTTGTATTGTTTTGGTTTTTTTAAAGGTTCATTTCTGTTTGCAAACTGTTGTTGTAACTTATAATAAATAAATAAATAATAAATAAATAAATAAACTGTCCACGGCTGAAAATAAGCCTCTCCCTAGGGGTGTTTTGCCAGTACTTGCCACGCTTGGCAGGCGGGTAAGCAACCGCAATTTGTCCTTGGTCATGTTTAAAGAGCGACGCTGCTACCCATCCCTATTAAAGCTTTACTATATAAAATTTTATAAATACCTACACTTTATTTTAACTCAATGACAAATTACCACATTATTAATAATTACTCAATAGATATGTAAAACATACCAACTATCAACTATATCCTTGCCGCGGTTACTGGCATTGTTCTTTATGGGATGAATCAGAACTTTTTTGCGTCAATCAGGATTATAATTGTCATTAGTAACTCCTGATGTCCTTGAATACATGTTTATTTATGGATTATTTTTAGAAATTCTATGATCTCTCTATTACTTGTAAATTTTTAATCGTCTCGTCGTTAAGTCTATCCATTAATGAGTCAAAAATTAAAAGTATGCAATTCGTCTCGTAAAATTTTCAAATTACATTACCTCTTTTGAAAAACATGTCGCAATATCTCTGTGGACAATTATACACTCACTGTTCATGTGTTCCCTTCCCTTATGCGTTGTTATTTCCGAGCTCAAAACTGTGTGTGCGTGCATACGTACGTGCGTGCGTGCGTGCGTGCATGCGTGCATGCGTGCGTGCATGCGTGCATGCGTGCGTGCATGCGTGCATGCGTACGTGCATGCGTGCGTGCATGCGTGCGTGTGTGTGTGTGTGTGTGTGTGTAATATACTGTGATGCCTATGATATTCCTCATGTGTAGCCATTACTGAGGATTAGATATTATGCCTCCATACTGTGTAATTTCACTGCCATATCCTACTCTCTTATCCCATGGATGCCGTACGAGGTGACTAAGGGAACTTAATAGTCGAGAGATGGACAGCAGAGTACTTTTAAAAACATCACCAAATCCTCATTAAGATTGCCAAACCACCTGCCAAGTAACTACAAGCACAACCTCTCAATAGGGGAGGCCTATGTTCATCAGTGGACAGTTAATGGCTGATATGATGATGATGATACCACTTTCCAAACCGAAACACAGCCATGTAAACATAGCTGCTGAGATATTTTAGAAAATTATTAGTAATATACCTGGTAATAAATATTAAAAGATTTAAATAAAATAAGCGAAATAAAAGTAAATAAATATAATTTTATTTGTGTACAAGTTTTTTTTTTATACAACTTAGAATGGCAAACAAGATGACGGCCCACCTGATGGAAAGTGGTAACCGTCGCCTATAGACATGAGCAGTACCATGGACATAACATAGTATACTGTTGCGCCCATGATACCCCCATGCGTTGCCATTCCTAAAGGACTCAGATGTTATTCCTCTGTACCCTGTAAATTTACGCATATCCCACACTTCGAACCGAAACACAACCATGCAGACTCAACTTCTTTGCGGTTGAAACACGAATGGGACAGAGGTATCCAAGCAAATGACTTTTGTACAGCTCCCTCTGGTAACTTCTGGACATTGATGACCATCCATTCCGATATCACCAATACCAGTCTGATATCTATAATTATTTATTATTACCTAGTTCTTCTTCTATTATATATTGGATAACCGATAGTTTATATCAAACTGTTTATAATTACTCCTCTCCATTCAAAGGTTGCCTGGAAGAGATCGCTTTTAGCGATAAGGTCGCCCATTGTTTTCTCATTGTGATTATTTTATTTATAATAAGTTTACTATTGTAATCTTTTAGAGGAAACAATGAAGAGTATCTATCTATCTATCTATAATATATCTGTTATAGTGCCAATATATGTATAGATATACTAACTACAATATACAGATTAATGTATTTATGTAAGTTTTTATTTACTTATGTAGTAATGTACGAATACTCAAAAAGGACTAACTATAATTGATCTTTGGCTAAAAAATAATTTACTTACTCTAAACTCTCTAAAATCGAAATATATATGTTATACCATAAATAAATCAACGCAACCATCACCAGAATTTCAAATTATCATTCATTCTTACAATTGCAATAAAGTAAATGGTGACTGTTTATGTCCATCTATTGATAAAACTACTTCTATTAAATATCTTGGTATACACATGGACCAGCACTTATCTTGGCATTCTCATTTAGAAGCAGTCAGCACTAGAGTAGCTAATTTGGATTTTTATTAAGCTGCGTTATGTGGCATCCAAATTTTTGATCAGATCAATATATATATCCCTAGCGCAATCTATATTGATGTATTGTATTCCTGTATGGGGTGGAGCTACTAAAGTAAAATTTTTAGAAGTGGAAAGATCCCAAAGAGCTCTTCTAAAACTGGCCTACTCTAAACCACGTATTTAGCCCACTGACAAACTTTATCAAGAGTGTGATTTATTGTCAGTAAGAAGGATTTATATACTATATGCAACTTTAAAAAGACACAAAAGTGTAGGACTAGACTTTTCTTATTTATTAAAACGTAGGAAAAACATAACTCTGATGGAAAATAACGTTAGGACAAGTTTTGCTATGCGACAATATAGTAAACAATCAACACATTTATACAAGTTATTAAATAATAAATTAAATATCTATAAACTAAACAAATTTGATTGTAAAGATGTAATTACTAAATGGTTAAAAACTTTAAATTACCACGAAACAGAAGAACTTTTTAAATATTAAAATATTGATGAGTTACTTTTTAAAAAATCTTAACAATACAGATTAGCGTAAAACTACACAAACACTCATACAACATACACACCACACAACAGTTGGTACATGGCGCACGTACATGCACACATACACTCACACGCACGCATACATAAACACACACACACACACACACACACACACACACACACACACATCACACACATGTATGCATGCACACACACGCATGCATGCATTTAGATATACTTATTACTAATATTAGATAATGTTTATGTCTTAATTTCATGGTACTATGATTTATGTATTTGCATGGTTATGGAGGAGCGTGACCTTCTGATACAGGTGATAACACTTACTAGAAGGTCACAACAACGATCTTAGTATTGTATCAATTTTGTTACGAAATAAATATTTTTCATTTTCATTTTCATTTTCAATGTTATATTATTATTCATGTACTTTTATTATTTACATATGTAGGTATATACAGCTGTTTTTATTGCATTATATATATTTAATTTTTTTACTGGATATTATTTAGTTTATTTTTAATTGTACGGTCATTACCCTTATACATTCTACAGTTTTCTTTCAGCTTCTCAAAGGTTGACTGTAAGAGATCCCTTTATGGGATAAGTCCGCTATTGTATATTAAATCATTTATCAGTGTTCAATGTGAATTATGTATAATAAAGATTTTACAATACAATATAATTATATATTACCCACACTTACTATCTACCCATACGCGAACCAGGATAGATTGCTTGTTCTTTTAATAATTATTCTAGTAACCTATTAGAGAATTATTACCGAGCTACTAATTCGACAACATAGTTGTCAACATGATTCAATATAACATTGTATTTAACACGTAATTGTTGCTCGTCCTTCACAGCGTTTTGGGATTCCGATACACGAGCGCCCTCTGGCAATATACGGTAATACCGTAAAAGTGTTGATAAAGTCGTCTTCATTGATAATAGTGAGTACTGTTGCCCTGTAATTAAATGAAATTATGTAAACGACTAATAGTCTCTCTACTATCCTTACCTTACATAGGAAAAGCGAAGTTTAACCCTGAATAATTGGATATAGTAATGCTAAACATCTCTTATTAACAACTCAGTAAATGCGACTATACTCTTCATAATTAGCACCTATGATAGGTCTTTTTTGTTCTTTATTTCATCCAAATCTTTTCAACTGTTTTAATATGACTAATACTTAGATTAATAATTAATTTCTAATCATTAATGAAGCCATGTAGGCCTCAGTATAAAATAGGCCATCTCATCCTTACCCGTGTGTATCGTTAGAGACGACTAAGAAAGCTTATGGTAGAGAGATGGGCAGCAGCGTCCCTCTTAAAACTATCAAATACCAAACTGCGGTTACTAGCCCGCCTGCCAAGCTTGGCAACTACTGGAAAACCCCTTAATGGAAGAGGCAATTTTCAGCAATGGATAATTAATGGCGGATACAACAACAACCATTAATGTAAGGATTAACAAAACAAATTTTGTTTATGATACTTAGAATGGCGAACAAGGCGACAGCCCCTCTGTTGGTGGGTGGTAACCGTCGCTTATATACATGAGTAATACCATAGTCTTTATAAAATACACTGCATTCAAATTTAGAAGGAGACAAATATTGCCGTATAACCGAACCACATCTTATTTTAGGGTGGTTGGTCACTAAAACAAAATTAAACAGCGAATAGTAGATGGCGTTAGAATCAAAATTTATGATTTTTGTCGATTATTTTGTGATTTAAGGTAATTTTACGCAACATTTTTAAATTTCGGCTCTGTTGTTGTCGGAGAGCTCGTTAAGGACCCATTCAGCGATCTTCCATACTTGCCAAGCTTTTTGAGGTGACGAACGACCGTGTATTGATTGACATCGATGTCTTCAACTAGCATTTGTGTTGTCAGACTCTCGTCTTTTTTCACGGCTGCTAGAAGAGCCTGATCGTCGCGAAATTCGATAGCTGACCTCTTTCTGACATATCCTCCAAGCTGATGTCACCTGATTTGAAACGGGCGAACCACTCCCTACACTGACTTTTGCTGTTTATTTCTTTACCAAAGAGTTCGTTAAAATTGCGAAATAACTGTTCTGCTTTCTATCCTTTCTCGAAGTGGTAGAGCATAATATGCCGAATATTACTATGGTTTTTGACACGCATTTCTCTAACACAATAGAGAAGATTATTTTTATACAAAAACAATAAACAAAATGCTACATTTCACTGATGAAAAAACTACATAAACGCCGGATAATTATGATACACGTATTATATGGAATGGAAAAGGACGTAGGTTCCTTTTTATTTCGGTCATTGAACTTATCCGGTCACGGGGACGAAGTCGCGGGTAAAAGCTAATAAGTAAATAATATTGCGAAGATTTTGTTTTTAGATATTCGCAATTGTAATAAATAACACTTACACGAATGACCAAAAACATTATTTCCTAATAAATTGCAAATTTAAATGATTAATACTCATAATTAGATATACATGAATGAATAATTTCAACTAATTTGCATGTTAGTCTGAATATGTACATGGATATCCGTTTACCAAATACATATTTGTATCGTAATCGTATATTCCGAACAATTCCTGGCATTCTCTTTTTACGATTTTTATATTTCATGATTATTACTATTTTTTTAAAATTTCGATTCATTATCATCATTTCAGTCGTTAACTATAACATAAACCTTATGCCAATAGTTCCCACGCTTGGTACTCGTAGATTGGGAACCGCAGTTAGGTTTTGGTGATGTTTTAAGAAAGACGCTGCTGCTTATTACTTGACCATTATGTTTTCTTAGTCGCCTCTTACGACATTCACTTGAAAGGAAGGAGTCATTCATTCTACACCGGGACCACACGGCAATGCCAAAATTATAGCGATTATTGCATTGTAATGGAACACGAGATTTGAATATTGATTCAAAATATAAATGCGCTTTAATTTGAGCTCCTTTTTTTACAAAGATATATATGGCTATATACGACCATTTTAAATATGTACTAATTTCTTGTCTACGACTGTCTGGATTATCAGAGATGTGAATTCTAAGTACTCTTAGTATATTCTATTCAACCAAGTTCGAAAAGAACGAAGTTCACACTTTAATTGTATGTTTTCATGTTTGTTACCTTACTTATTTAATGCAATTGAAGAATCTGAATAATTCTGTCAGTTCTAAATCGATAACGGATTTTTTTTCATCTAAAAGGATATAATTATAGATATATATATATATATATATATATATATATATATATATATATATATATATATATATATATTTTTATATATATATTATTTATGGATGTAAATTTGTCTTACCAACACAATTTCTGGGTCCATAACTAAAAGGCAGGTATGACGCCGGATGTGTAGGTGGTTTATCAAGGAACCTGTCCGGTCTGAATTTTTCCACATCTGAACCCCAATAATCTGGATTTCTGTGAATTCCCCAAGCGCTGATAACGACACCGCAGCCTTTTACGAGTTTGATTCCCGATGCTGCAATAAATTGTAAACACGAATCTCCACTTTGATAATCTATTGTCTAGACAAAGTTATACGTACTCAGTGATATCGCTATAGGGAATGTGGAGGATGTATTGGATTTTTATTAAACTGATTTACTACTTCTTAACTTACTAAGACAATAAAATTGCAACTAGACGGTATCTGTACATGGGAGATATAAAAGAAAAATTGGCAGAAGATTCTATTGTTCTATTTTATTGTATTAAGAAGGATTCTTTATAAGAACAATAGAAGCTAAAACAATCATTTTTAGAAATTATAAAATATAAAGTCTTTTTCTTTGGTTTTCTTTCTTGAATTCTCACGTAAAAAGTAGTTTATAAAAATTTACTTGTTTTTAAAACTGTAGCCGATAATAATACTTTTAACTGACTTTCAAAAAGAAGAGATTCTCAATTTGTTAGATTTTTTTGTATATTTGTCCTTATATTAAGCTATCATTTGATAATATATTAGTGCAGATGACATAATATTTACTATGTAAGTAATTTTTCATTTCATTCATAAGATACTCGTAACAGATTGCAATGGAGATCAAGAACTAGCGGAAAAAAATCGAGAAACAACTCATGTGCTGAACTGATGACATTACCAAAACAAGCAAGAACTCAAGACCGAAAAGACTTATGACCAAGAATTGAATCAATTAGAGGGACTTTGAAGACTTACTCGGAAATGGATAAACCCGGAATGAAAAACAAAACAGAACTCTTTTAATAATGTAAGAATTCTACTTTCTAATAAATTTAGGTTTACAATGAACAGAGAATTAATGTTATTAGAGAATTAATTAAATCACAAACATCTAAAATTTAATATAAAATTTATTAATTTAGACAACGCGGTTATTGTTGTTGTAAACTCATATTTCATTTAGTCTCTAGGTTACCCAAAAATCTGTATCGCTAATTGTTAAAATATATAGGTATCAATGCACTAAAATACATTAATATTAATTAAATATGTATATTATACGTACGTAAAATTATATCCTTGTCGGTTTTCCTCATGATAATTGGTCCTGGTGGGTATAATCGCAATGTCTCTTTTATTACTGCCTCTAAATATTTAAGACGTTGCAAATCAACTGTTGTGGGTTGTTTGTTTGTATCACCGAAAACTTCTTTTATTCTATAAGAAATTGTGATGAAATTAAACTTTTATATTTTACTATCGCCATCGATTATAATGACATTGAGCTTGAATTTATCACCAACAACATTGTAAGTTATTTCTCCTTCTCTTTCTCTTTTCATTTAAGAGTTTCCTCTTGTCGGTGCAACTAATTTCTCCTTATTATTCCTAAAAAATCTCAGTAGTCTAAATAATCCAAAAGGTACAAAGTCGTTTAGAGACACATAGGCTTGACGAAACATAAGCAAATTGACATCCATAATCACCAAAAGAAGGGAATAATCAACTCCAGGTCGGATAACGAGTAGAATTATGCCTCTCATCCTACCTACACTTACGTGTACAGTCCTGTCCAATTTATTTTTACTGTCTTTCCTTATAAGGAAAGACTCCTTGTTATAACAAGATTGGCGATTAAGTTTATGGTCTACCTAATAGTAAGGGGCAATCGCAAACCATAAACACTTGCAATGTTAGGGGAATCACTAATGTGTTGTAGACTAATGTTAGATAGAAGTTTCCACCAGTACACAGTGTTTTGACTGCTATGAAATCTTATATATAAAATTCTCGTGTTATAGTGTTTGTTACCAAACTCCTCCGAAACGGCTCTACCGATTTTTATAAAATTTTGTGTGCATATTGGGTAAGTCTGAGAATCGGCCAACATCTATTTTTTATACCCCTCAATGATCAGGGAGACCCACCCCTAAAATTTTTTTTTTTAATTTTTTTGGCAAAATTTTTTATTTTTATTTTATTATGACTAAGCATTGAAAAATACATACAGCTTAAAATTTTTACCATTTTACGATCAACCCCTATTTGTTAATCGCGATTTTTATATTCTGAAAAGGGGTTGCATAATGGCAATCGAAAATTATAACTGTAGTACGAGAAGTTTTCATATATAGATCTTAAAATAATGTATATGGTAAAACAACGTTTGCCGAGTCAGCTAGTAATATATAATAATGCAAACAGCATGTCCCTCTTATATACATTTTATAGCAGTTTTGCTGCTGCTTGGCGATAAGATTAACAAATTTAACTTTGTACAAAGGCGCACTCTAGTGTTTTCACACTTCTTGTACGTACTCCTGATATACTTGCTCCTGTTCATCTGGATATTTCGATAGCATCACACATACGAGTGATAGAGCAATACTCATAGTTTCAGTGCCAGCGAAAATCATAACAAGGATCTCTTCGCAAAGTTCAACGTCGCTCAACATCCCAGCATAGTTTGGTTTCATAAGTATATCCACAACAGTTGGATTTTTTTCTACTAAATCTGAAATTAATTTATTTTAATTATATATTTTATCTCTTACAAATAATTTACAAAGTATAAAAATTAGAATCGTTTTATTTGTAAAAACATATAACTCAAACATTGAAATTTTAAGTTTATTACTAGAAAATGTAAATCAATTGTTCAATAACATAATCCAACCAGATTATATAAATTACTCTAATTAAAAAAAATATGAAATAATTACCTTGTTTATCATTATTCGACAGATATCCACATTTTACTGTATTGTTATTATTAACTTCTCTAGTTTTTTGTTTTAATAAAACCGTCTGGAAATAAAAAATATTTGTTATAACAATTAACAGATGATTTTGATTTCTTTTTATCTCTTTGCATGTTAATATTGCAATAGTTATGCTAGATATCAAGTAGTTAAAGTGGTCTGATTGTATTCCATTTTTATCTATATTCACGCGAGGTTCTTTACGATTAAAATTAAATGCCAATAATTTTTTTTTCATCTTTATCTCTTATATGTTTATTCACATTTGTATCTTCACCTTTATCCTGTTCTTTTTTTATTATTTTTTATTCACCTTTATATAAGGTATTATGTAATGTATAAATTATTGATATAATTATAGTATTATATTATACTGGTCTCGGAAACTTGTTATTCCCTCAAACAATACATTGTCTATATGATTATAGTAGATCAGTCGACCTATTGTGGTACATGTTCTATTTTATATCTTTTTTTTTTTTATACTACTTAGAATGGCAAACAAGCTAACGGCCTACCTGATGGAAAGTGGTAACCGTCGCCTAGAGACATGAGCAGTACCATGGATATAACAGAGTGTACTGTTTCGCCTATGATACCCCTCGTGTTGTCATTCCTGAGGACTCAGATGTTATTCCTCTGTACCCTGTTAACTCACGCCATATAACACCCTTCAAATCGAAACACAGCTATGCAAACAAAACTGGTTCACGGTAGAAACACGAATTGGACAGAGGTACCCAAGCAATCGACTTTTGTACAAAGTCTCCCTCTTTTATTGTCCACTTATTAGCTACTTTTTCCGCATGTCCCAATCAACCTTACTATATTTAAACCTCCACAATACATTAAAATATGTTCAGCAGTGGAGAGATGCATAAACATAAAAATAGTTTAATTTCCTTATGCATAGTAACAGTGGCATATATTAAAACATAGTAAATTCAATCATTTAAGGAAATATTCAGAAAGTATTCTTCATTTTTATATGAATGTCTTGGAATTAATTTCAAAATTTTTACTTTGTAATTGAATAAGGTACTAACTTCTTTGAGGATCAAAGGTAAATATGTTTATGAACAAGGCAATTAAAGGTAAGCGTCTCAATAAGTCGATATTCCGGGAAATTCGTATTTTCTTGAAAGCGTATTATGAAGTCATTGGCGGATTTGAGAGATGACTTTGTAGTGGGGCTCCGATTTTGGAAAATTTTAAAATACCGACGCCTATTCTATTCAATATATATATCTATACTTATAATAAATAAATCTGTAGAGAGGTCAATTCTGTATATGAAATATATTTCCAAAATAACTATCGGGGAGTGATTAGTGACCAATACTGATGCCAAAAATGCAATCAGTAAAATTTTTGTCTGTCTGTCTGTATGTTCGTTATAGAAACAAAAACTACTCGACGGATTTTAAGGAAACTTGGTACAATTATTCTTCATACTCCTGGGTAGATTATAGTATACTTTTCATCAGGCTACGATCAATAGGAGCAGAGGAGTGACGGGAAATGTTAAAAATGTCCACCCGTGCGACGCCGAGACGGGCCGCTAGTATATAATAAAATCGTAACTGGTCGCTGTCTGTACATGGAAGATATATAAAAAAATCTAATATAGGAGAGCTTTATGAATGAAATAGAACCCAAAACAATGATTTTTAAAAGTTTTGCCTCTTTGTCTGTACGTTTGTGCAAGATAATCTCAGAAATGGCTTAACCGATTTATATACGATTTTCACTAATATGTTGCGGCTTGCTTCACACAATACATAGCGTTTATTTTATTTCAATCGGTCATTAATAAATAAAAAAAGTTATATCAATTTAAAGAATCACATATAATATGCTATGATTATTTCATAGTTCGATTAGTTGAATTGGCTGGAACTTTTTTTATTGTATGTATTGATTGTCGAAAATTCTGTCTACTCGAGCAAAGCTGGGTCGGATAACTAGTATGTAGTATGTACTTAACTATAGTCATATGGTTAATTTGTAACAGGGAGGTCTACGACTCTCTTTTAATTACTATAGCTACTACTAAAGGAAGACTGCACGAAAGACGTTTGCTTGAATACCTCTGCCCTATTCGTGTTACTGCCATGAAGCTGTTGCGTTTGCATGGCTTTGTTTCAGTCTAAAAAATAACAATGAAATTACAGGATAGAGAAGCATCTTAGTCCTTAGGAATGGCAGCGCGTGAGGGGTATCTTGAGCGACATAGTATACTCTGTTATGTCCATGGTACTGCTCATGTCTATAGGCGACGGTTACCACTTTCCATCAGGTGGGCAGTCAGCTTGTTAGCCATTCTAAGTTGAATAACAAAAAAAAAAGAAAAAAGTATATTGATTTTTTTATTATTATTATCAAATTTTATATTATTTATAATTTAATATCATTGATTTGTTTCACTATATATTAAATAAAAAAATATCTAGGTATAGTTTCGTAAATGTTGTGTAAAAAAACTCTGGCTGTTAGTTTTTTTTTTTTTTTAATTGAGGATACTACAGTCCCTAGACACTAGGGAAAGACGGAACATAAAATATGAACCATTAAAACGTTCGACCAAATTCAACATTAAAAATTCACAACAACATCAAAACTTTCACGTCGCTATCGTAATTTCGGTAATTCAATATCCACTGCTAAAAGCTTACTCCATGGAGTACTAAATAATGGCCCCAAGTCATCATTGATGTAATATGAATAAGTACATTTTACTCCTAAAAAAAAACACAAAAACACCAACATTTTTTTTTTTATCAATAAAAATATAAAAGTACAGAAATTATACCAACCACGTAGGTTTATATTAATACTAGATACATTCGAATTAGCAATGAGGAGGTCCTGCTTAGGGTTAAGGAAAAAGACAAATGATTAGAACTATTGAGGACAGAAGGGGAAAAATGTTAGGACACTTGATACGACACGACGAACTTATGAACATTATAATAGAAGGTAAGATAGAAGGAAGAAGGGGGAAAGGGAGACCGAGACATAGTTACATCAGGCAGATCAAGGAAGGAGTTGGTGTCGTGTCGTATCAAGAGGTGAAGAGGTGAAAATTATATTCCACCGACAAGAGCGCAGCTCTTAAATGGATAGATAGACATTCAAATTATTTAAATTGTATTAAAATCATACAAGAAGTATCGTTTTCATTTACATTTGATGTTGCTCATAGTAATATTATCTCGTACATCGGTGGGTAGTTCATTAATAAGTCGAGGAACTAGACAGTCAGCCGTACGCTCACAATTGAAAAGTATCGTCTTATAATAGTAGAATACATCAATAAAATTTTTTGGAATAATTAGATTATCTACATGCCTATTGACGTGTGGTTCCTGCATAGAATAGGCCAAATAATGGAACTTAATAGTCGACAGATGGACAGCAGCGTCCCTTTTAGAACATAACCAAAGTCTGTGATTCCGAACCCACCTGCCAAGCGTGGCAACTTCTGGCGAAACCTTACTTTTGGGGAGGCCTTTGTTTTGTTTGTCACTTGTAAATCATAAAACATGCAGAGCGAATGTCTAAAAGTTTTTTTTATAACATAGGGGTAAACGAGCATGCGTCTCACCTGATGGTAAATGACTATCGCCACTCGTAAGCACCTGCAACACGAGAGACATTGAAGAGCGCTGCCGACCTTTTAAGTAGGAATATGCTCTTTACTTGAAGGTTACGATGTCGTATCGGTTCCGAAATATCGCTGCCGGAAATTGATTCCAAAGCGTAGTTATAGTTGTGTTTATTTATTCTACTACTTTATACTCTATAAATATAATATCAAATATATATAATACTTACCGTATTAATAAAATTATAAATGACATCTCGTTCCGTCAAAAACTTTGACCACATAGGGAGGTTTTTGTACAAAAATTCATATTGCAATGGTGGACGAAAGAGTAAATAACAAGTCTTCCTTATACATTTGCCAATTGCCTTAATGATCGAATCCTCTTGAGAACGTATCTGGATACCTAATGCAATTTCTGAAATAAATATTTTTCATTATTATTTTAATAAAAAAATGGGAAAAATTTACTTTTAAAAAAAAAAGAATAACAGGGAAACTCTATAGGAGATAGCGAATATTTTTATGATACTCAGAATAACAAACTGAGGGCCCACCTGATGGAAAGTGGTAACCGTCGTCTATAAACATGAACAGTACTACAGATATCACAGAATATACTCTGATACCCAAAGTACTCATCAGGCGTTGCCATTTCTAAGAACTATAGTGTTATACCTCTATAACCTATAATTTCCTTCTTTTTCCTTCTTAAGTGGGGTTTTTTTTTGCGTGACAAAATCCGAAATTGAAAGAAAATGATAAAACAGTGTTACATTTAAAGTAGATTTATAGAAGGTTTTAGTTTTTATGAATAATCCGGTTAATACCACAGGAAGAGAGAAGAAGTACAGGAGTCGTTTGCTTGGGCCCCTCTGTCCCATTCGTGTTTCTACCCTGAAGCAGTTGTGTTTGCATGGCTGTGTTTCGGTTTGATGGGTGGGACATGGTAGTGAATTTACATAGTACAGAGAAATAACACCTGAGTCCTCAAGAATGGCAACGCTTGGGGTATCATAGGCGAAACAGTATACTCTGTTATGTCCATGGTGCTGCTGATGTTTATAGGCGACGGTTACCACTCTCCATCAAGTAGACCGTTTGTTTGCCATTCTAAGTTGCATAAAAAAAAATATACACGTATTATATGGGATGAAAAAGGACGTAGGCTACATTTTATCCCGGTCAGTGAACATCAAGCGGATGAAATTGCTAATTAAAGCTAATAAGAAATATAACCATAAATACTGATGTTGTAGAAAGAGTGAAGACACTGAAGTGAAACTGGGCGGTTTATATATGTCACACCGGGAATGATAGATGAACCAAAAAATATACACAATAGATCCCCAGGCTATTCCTGGGGATCTATTCTGTATATTTTTTTGGTTGCTACGTATTTTAGATAAGGAACAGTAGATTTTGTAAGATCAGTTTACAAGAAGCTAGTCTTATTTTGGACCTAAATATAATAATATTGAAGTCGAGTTACTTGAGGTTATATTTATATAAATTTATCTGTATATTAATCTATATAATTACCTCAGTTTCAATATTATTTATAGCAAAAATGAATAGTCGTAAATAAAATTGTGTTAGGTATAATTTAGCAATACAACAATCAGCGACTGACACAAAAAAAGAATCATGCCACCATGTCCATATAAAAGTACCCAACCCCTTTTCTACGTCTACAATATAAAAAAAGATACATAAGCTATTTTGTAAAAGGGTTTATTTAAATAAATAAAATATGTTTTCTTTATTCACCACATTACAAAAATAGAATGTTTGATACCAACGGCAGACATAATGCATTCTCTCTCTGTCAGTCAATCTTTGTAATGTCAAAAACAATAATGTAATTATGCGGTAACAATATATTAGGTTTTAATGAGATAGTCTATCTAGTTGTTATCGGTCTGGGAATGTGTATTCAAAGGCAAGATTAAATGTTTTGTTGGTAGCGCGACAGAATCATCTAAAATACCTTTGCCACAGAGCGAACCCAAATGAGACTAAATACAAATATTTGACATATCGTACTTTAGTCCTAAGAATATATACTAGTCACAGTACTTAATTACAGTGCCAGAAAAGCAATATTAACTTTGGAGAGTAGATATCAGACTCCATTTTTTCATGCTACTTGGAATGATAAAGAAACTGACAGCGCATGTGGTAAAAAAAAGGTAACTATCGCTTATAGACATGTAATTGTAACATGTAACATGACATGTAACATAGATACACTACGATAGCAACGGTACCCCTCATGTGTTGCTGTTTCTCAGTACTGTAATCCTATGACTCAGTATATCGTGGTTTTGCTACCAGATCCAACCCTTTTTTCATATGAAATGGCAAACAAACTGACCGCCAGTCCGATGGAAAACGTCGCCTACAAACATAAACATTAGGTTATTAAATTAATCTTGTAATGAAAACAGTTTTTAACAATATCCAATGAGAAATATTATAAAAGTCCATACCGTATACTGTACATAACGAGGCCTTCTTTAAATACTTCACAATTGAGATAGATCCTGAACTAGTGAGCGACCGCAGTTGATTCACCATGACATCGCTCTGCCGACCAATTATCTTTACAAATTCTTTTAAATTCCTCACATTGAACACCCTTACTATTTTCCTTCGACGAGATCTCCATATTTTTACTGAAAGACATCACTGCTTCATTTTTTTAAAGTTGTGCTGCACTTAATAGATAGAGATAGAAGAAATTTTATTTAATAAATCATGTAACACTCTAAATGTGAAATAAATAATGAAACAGAAATAAAAAATAAGTAAGTACACAATTAAATAAAAACGAACTCAGTATTACTATAAAAAAGCAGTAGTATACTAAATAATAATACAACAACAGTCTTAGCATAGTTAGAAAAAATTGTGTGTGAATCGTGTTTGAGTATGCGTGTGTTAGATATTTATTTTAAATTATATGAATTTTATTAAACATTTTGTGGCAAAATGTGTATTTATGTTATATTATTTGTTATACGAGTATATCATATATATGTAAAGTTAGTATTACGTAGTACCCCATATATCATATATATATATATATATATATATATATATATATATATATATATATATATATATATATATATATATATATATATATATATGTGCACGCGCTCTGGCGTCGCAGTATTCACCAAAAGTTACATGTTTAACTCAAGTACATTTATCTACCTGGCTGGAAATAAAACATTACGTAATTCTAGAATTGAGCGAACAAGTTGCCTAATAGCCTAATGGAAAGTACTTCCACCAAATGTATATATGGATAAATTAAAATCTTTTTAATTTATATGCATACATATTTCTTTATTTCATATTCCTTATTCTACATATGCACTGTAATTTAGATAAAAAGATTTTTTTATACAACTTAGAATGGCAAACAAGCTGACGGCCCACCTGATGGAAAGTGGTAACCGTCGCTTATAGACATGAGCAGTACCATGGACATAACAGAATATACTGTTTCGCCAATGATACCCCCAGTGCGTTGCCATTCCTAAGGACTCAGATGTTATTCCTCTGTACCCTGTAAATTCACGCCATATCCCACCCTTCAAACCGAAGCACAGCCATGCAAACACAACTGCTTCACGGTTGAAACATGAATGGGACAGAGGTACCCAAGCAATCGACTTTTGTACAAAGTCTCCCTCTGGTATATTATTTTCAATACTGTATCTAGCAATAAATTACGTTATGTTCAGTACAAATCAATAACTACAGACATTGAATGTATATTTTCTTCAGCAGTATTAACAGATAATCCAATAATTGTTACTAACCTGGAGCAAATATACTGCCGCCGCCAGTAAATATTTTTAGAATGTCCAATAAATCGTCTTTCTCTAAACAATTCTTTAGAACAACTTCGGCTAAAATCGGATCCGCTATGACTGAAATAGTAACAAATTCATAAATGTCAAAGGTCAGCTTGTTATTTGTTAAATTAATATTGCAAGTAATTATAATAAAATTATTAAAACACTAGCTTTTAATCGCGACTTTATTCGCATGACCGAGACTGGGAAATAAGTATACTTCTCCATACCAAATATTTCAACGTACGTGCAGTGCTCCTGATATTTCATGTGTCTATAATTAGCCAGCCATTAACCTGCAGGCTGGCTGTATGTTTATTTACCACCTCAATGGTATAAAAAAATTAAGCCTTAATTACAGTCTACTATTTAATAAAACAACGTACATATAAAATTAATTTACTAACCAACTTGCAAACGACTAAATAACCAAACAGACGTAATTCCGCCTTGTTTCAATGCATCGTTACTGAACTTTTTTATTGCCTTCATTTTTGCTAAAATAAAGAAAAAAAATATTATAAGCAAAAAAAATATATATAATTGCTTTGTACTTTGGAGGGTACAAAGCACCTACATGTAGTCGCTGAACAAATATTTTGAATGAACGAAACCATCCATACTGTACTGTACATACTTCATTTAAATTATGCAACTAACCTAACTTTTTCCTGTAACTTTTAACCTGTCATCCCTAGTACTTTAGTAGCGTAAATTCATAATATAGGAAATATTACTATTCCATTACATGCAAAAAAAATATTAATTAAATGGATATTAATAAATAAAATATCGCCACTAAAGAAAAATGGCATATTCTTAGAAAGCTATCACAATGTCAGTACGAAATCAAATATGAAATATACAAAAGATTTATATAGAAAAATAGATAATATATCTTTTATGTGTGCGTGATATGTGTAATATGTGAAAATATTATATAAAAAAACCTAATCTGAAAATCGATACAGGAAAAACATTCTACAGCCACAATTCAATGCTGATATTGATAAAATATTAAATCCATATATTATGTGCACACATCTATTTATTTACGGAAAAGAAATATTCTTAACCGACTTCAAAAAGAGGAAGGTTCTCAGTTCGATTGTATTTTTTTTATATGTTCGTTACCTCATAACTCCGTCAGATATAAATCGATTTGGAAAATTCTTTTTATCTAAAAGGATGTACTTACAGATCAGTATCATAGAAATTTTATCACAGATTGTGATAAAATTCAGTAGTTTAGTTTTAAAATCAAAATAAATAATTTTGTCACAATTGAAGTCGACTTTTTTTTGGAATATAATCTAATATATATAATAAATCTTCAATTATATTTTTATAATTTTTTTTTCTAACCACATCATTAATAATAGTTCTTTTTTTGTAAAACACATTCATCTACACGACATTTTACACACATATTTTTTTTAAACAACTTAGAATGGCAAACAAACTTACAGTCCACCTGATGGAAAGTGGTAACAGTCGCCTATAGACATGAGCAGTACCATTGACATAACAGAGTATACTGTTTCGCCCATGATACCCCCCATGCGTTGCCATTCCTGAGGACTCAGGTGTTATTCCTCTGTACCCTGTAAATTCACGCCATATCCCACCCTTCAAACCGAAACACAGCCATGCAAACACAGCTGCTTTACGCTTAAAACACGAATAGGACAGAGGTGCCCAAGCAATCGACTTTTCTACAAAGTCTCCCTCTGGTGAGATTTTAGTCACATAAAACCAATGTGACTAAAATGAAATGTATAATATTTTTATTACAATAATATATAAATATCTTATTAATATCCCCCTTCCTGACACAAATCTAATTCCCATACCAATCAATCAATATCCCATGGATAGATAGATACCTAATCAATTTATATCTCTAATATATACAATAACTGTATGAGTAAGTAACATACTATCATGCGTCTATTATTACAAAATTAATTTGGGATTAACACGAGGGTAAACCCCATCGATTGCAAAAATAGTTTTCAAAATTGATTCAGAATTGACAAATATGTACGAGTATATCGTAACATACAAAAGAATCTCGTTAAATGATGAAAAACTGCAAAAAAATGAGCATGATTAATTATTTATATTTATATTAAGTTCACTATTGTAATCTTTTGGAAGAAACAGTAAAGAGTATCTATCTATCTATCTATGATAATAATCAAACTATATATATAATTACTTCTCTTCTTCCAAAGGTTGCCTGGAAGAGATCGCTTTTAGCGATAAGATCGCCAATTGTTTTCTCATTATGATTATTTCTTGTAATTATTTATATTTATAATGAGTTTACTATTGTAATCTTTTGGAGGAAGCAATAAAGAGTATCTATCTATCTATCTATGATTATAATCAAACTATTTATAATTACTCCTCTCCATCCAAAGGTTGCCTGTAAGAGATCGCTCTTAGCGATAAGGTCGCCCATTGTTTTCTCATTGTGATCGTTTCTTGTAATTATTTATATTTATAATAAGTTTACTATTGGAATCTTTTGAAGGAAGCAATAAAGAGTATCTATCTATCTATATATAATCCTTTTTGAAGTCAGTGCATCTACATTGCGACACAGAATGCATCCAATCATCATCATCATTATTATCATCATATCAACCTTTAATTGTCCACTGCTGGACATAAACCTCCCTTTTGTGTGATTTTGCTAGTACTTGCCACGCTTAGCAGGCGGATTAGCAACCGCAATTAGGCTTTGGAGATGTTTTAAGAGGGACGCTGCTGCCTATCCCCTGCCTTCCTTTAGTCGCCCCTTACGACACCCACGGAAAAGGAAGGAGTGGTGTATTCTATGCCGAGCACACGGCATAGAATACACACTTCACACTACACACTATGTATGCAATACAGAAACTAAATACTAAATTTCTGAACTAGGTTTGAGCTAGAGGCTATCCTCTACCCCATAAAGATTAAATTGGCGCATTTTTTTTTTCTCTTTTTATCTGTATAAATAAAAATCACCTGCCGAGTATATGTCAACGCATCACTTCAGAACGACTGCACTTATTTGACTAATTATTTTTTTTAATTATATTTTCAATTGACAGCATAGAATTTGTACTAGTATGAAATACGAGTAATATTAAACATATAAACATCGTAGAAAATAACCCATTGGGCTGTCAGTTTATAATAAATATTTTTGTTACAAATATTAAGAGAATACGATCCCAAGAATTCCAAGATCCCGAATGACAAAGGCAACAGGACTTCACATATGCAGCTATAATAATTATATATAAATTTATTATATAAATTTAAACAAATAATTAAAAATAATTTTCAAATGACTACAGACGCAAAAAATGAAATTATGTCACCGTTAATCAATTGTAATACAAGATTTTAATCTTGTTCTTATTTTAAACTTCTACTAAAAACGTCTTTTATATTACTTATAATATAAAAGAAGTACAATAATTGTTACGAAGCATATGCAAAGGCCCTTTGCCTTTGTCATTCGGGATCCCGGGATTGTATTCTCTACAAATATTTATATTTATTTCAGATTTTATTTATATACTATCACTATGTAACTGTATAATAAATCTTATATATATAAATATTTAATATATATAATAATATATAAATTTGTTATAGAAATATCAAGATAATTTACCTTCATCATTCCCTATTAACATATACAAGTGTCCAATAAATGGCCAGGCGGGGTACCTGCTCGGTATCAGCCTGTATAAACGAATCAACCTTCTGTTTCGCCACAATCGGTAAAACAACAATGTTATCACAAACACCACAAAATACAAACTTATCATTTTTACTTATACGTAAAAGCGACAGTGGAGTAAAAGTACACCAATGCATTGTAAAGAGTTGATGAAAATGTAGGAATTTAATGTTAAAAATGTTTATTAAAAGGCGGATGTTGGCTACAGTATTTGCCCATGCGCATCGCATTGCTTAATCAAGGCAATTAGGATTCATAAACTAAGTTCTCATAAATCCGTACTGACGTCTCAATGAAAACAGGATAAATAGGATGTGACCTAAGAACTGGAATGTACCACTTTTAATTTACAATTGACTTTATAAAAGGTGTAATTCCTCAATTTACCAGAAGGAGATTTTGTACAAAAGTCGATTGCTTAAGTACCTCTGTCCCATTCGTGTTTCAACCGTGAAGCAGTTGTGTTTGCATCGTTTTGAAGGGTGGGATATGGCGTGAATTTACTGGGTACGGAGGAATAACACCTGAGTCCTTAGGAATGGCAACGCATAGGGGGTATCATGGGCGAAACAGTATACTCTGTTATGTCCATGATACTGTTCATGTGTATAGGCGACGGTTACCACTTTCGTTACGTTAAGTTGTATAAAAAAAAAATTTTCAACTGACTTCAAAAATCTTCTTCTGTATTCTCAAGTCGGTGGTATTTGTTTTTTAATGTTTGTTACCTCATAACTCCGTCAGTTACAAATCGATTTAGAAAATTCGTTATTTATCTGATAAGGCATACTTTTAGATTGGTCTCACAGAAATTTTATCAAAATCGATTCGGTAATTTAGTTTTTAAATCAAAATAACTGGTTTTACCACAATCGAAGTTAGTTTTTTGTGTGAAACACAATCTCACATTATATTCAATTTACTTTCATTATCACTACTGTGTCAACTGTTAACTGCCCGCTACTGAATATAAGCCTCCCTTGTTAGCAAGGGTGGGTTTATCGCCAAAAGAGATCTCTTTCAGCCAACCCAGTGCAATTAGAGAGAATATAATTAATTGGCGGATAATCTAGTGCAGGAAAGGTATAGGTAAAAATAATGTAAATAAAACAAACGTACACAAAATGTAAATAAATAGATAAATATATAAATAGGTAAATAAGTGGATAGGTGGACAGGTGGATAAGTGGATAAGTAAATAAATAAACAAATAAACATATGAATAATACATATAATAGTAAGAGCATAGTATTATCATGTATTATTAGTTAAAAGGTGAGATTTTCTTTTCTTGAAGAAAATAATGGAGGGACTATCCTGTATGTTAGCAGGTAGCCTATTCCACAGTTGCTCAGCACGAAAAGAGAAGGAATTTCCAAAAAAAAATGGGTTTTACAAGTAGGGAGTTCTAATACATAATAATTCTTCAGTTATTTTAAAAACGTCCTTTAAAAATCATCGACAAGGAAAGGCAACAAAGTAAAGACAAATCCGCTTATTCCCGTCATTACATAGTACAATATGGTTTATACGCTCTGATGTTTAACAAAGTACCAGTTTCAGGGTACAGTGAGTACGGAACTTTCATTATAAAATGCAAATACACGATATAATACATGTGATTGACAAAAGTGTGGCAGGTCAGTAATGTTTGTGGTTGGCTGACTCTCAATCTATATTATTTACAAGTGCATTTTGACTTGCGACTCGACGACTTCGGTGATGAACACACAAACCGATAAACGAC